ACTAGGCCGGGATTTACTTCAGGGTTGTTCCAAAACTATTGTAAACTACTGTCCCAAATATCAAAGGCATTTGATATAAAACTGTTAGGCATATTCTGTGAACTGCAAAAACACATAACTGTATTTTTTGAGAAACTTATGAAAAATTCTTTAATGAAAACAAGTCTAGTAAAATTTTGAAAAAAAATCCAAACCATAACATATTCTGGTGAAATAAGAAGAGATCCCTAAAATCTTTTCATTTTTCATATGAAATTGTTGTAGTACTTTTGTACTACACTTTCATATGCACTTAGCTCACCTGAATTGTCCAAAGAAGCATTCTAAGACATAATGAATTAAAATTCTCCTGGTGTAAACAGATTCTAGAAGGACCTTGACAAATAACCTCATGTTAGACTTTACAGTAACTTCATGTAAACAAACGAAGAACAGTTAAAACATGTTTGAGAGTAGCACACTGATGACATGATGTTAATTGTATATGGTTAAGGCACAACAGCTTTTTCAGCCTAACAAACCCTTGGCCCTTCCTTGCCTCTTGGGCAGGGTGTGTCGTCACTATGTTAATAAAACTAGGTTTCAAGATAACTTGTCAAGCCAATACCAGCTTCTCCAAAGGAACCATTAGTTTCTACCACACAGCTGACACTTATAGTAGTATCTAATCATTGTGTGAAGACAATATCAAAATGGAAATAATCTCAGAGAAGGCTTTTTGGAAAAAAAAATAAAAAAAAAAATAAAGAGAATGGTTAATTCTCAGACTGAGAATCATCAATATATTATGATAAATATTAATGGTCTTCAAGACCAATGTTTTTTCTGGCCCTTATGGTAACAATATGAACAATACAGAACCAAATGTATGAAATGGACATAAACTCATGATACAGTGAAGCACATCAATTAAAAAAATAAAAAGGACATAGTGATTGTTTGTAATGCCTTCTGTTTCTAACATTACTCATTCACAGCCCTGTGAGTGCCTGCTAAATTCGGGGAGCAGGTCATTCACCAGCAAAAACAATTATAAAATACAAATGATTGAGCATTTGTTGTCAAGATTGGCTAGATAAAAAAGATCTGCTTGATAATGTGTTTCTAAGCAGATGACATAATTAGATGATTTTATCATAATGAGAAAGAATACAAGCCTTTAGCATTTTTTAGAAAGACTGCAATTTAAAAATAGGTGAGTGTTGCGACATAAATTCTATTAAAAAAGTAACAATTAAATTTCCCTCTGAGAAATTAGAAGGCACCATCTTGTGGTTCTTCTGCAGGAATGCAGTCAGGACAGCCTCCAGCCTGCCATCTCCTCCTACCCCTTCCCACCCTGTCAACTAGAATGTCAAAATTCTGCCATAGACAAATACAATGCTTATCATTCCCAACACCTCTTCTGAAAAATGTCAGTGAGATTAAGTACTAGGTAGGACTAGAGAGGTTATTTAACTTAAAATTCACTCCAGCTTATTACTTCACTCAAACATGTGCTCAAGATAAGCAGCAAATTCAGAGTCAACGTAGCAAAACCATACTTAATTTCCATTAAGATCAAATATTACCATAACCTAAAGTCTCTGCAGCTCAGTAAAGCCACATGAATTTTTGAGCCAGCTGAGATTAAAAACTTCTACTTCTGTTATCCTTAGATTATCAAAATCAAAGCACATTTAGTGAATGTCACAGAAGGTATTTGAAATTTTCATACGCCATTTATTTTGGGCAAGAGTTGAACAGTTAAATTTGTGCCGTCTTTGAAGACATAGTTAGTCTCATATACAGGTCACAGTTCAACATTCAGAATTTCTTGTTCAATAGAATCTGCTGCTGTAAGTAAAACACAGTTTTGTACATAACATTTATATTCACAGCTACTGATATGAGCTTTGTGTCTAGTCCTGCTAACTGCTCATTCATTGTACATTGTGGGATAAACTATCCAAACTGATCTTTCTCAACTCAGTTGTATAGTTGTATAGCTTTCTCAACTATAGTTGTATATCTCAAACATAGTTATATAGTTGTATTACTGACCATGGAAAGTTCAACTGCTTTTGTCTTCCTTGCAAAATGTATGTTAAAAGTAACCCGGTGTCACTGTAATTATTGGTCTTATTGCTTTTACAATAAATCATATATAGATAGCTATTTCAGAGAGGTTAATTTAACAGATGTTATGATTTGGTCATATCACTCCAGAAGTACTTTCTTGGTGTTATTGTTACAGTGTACTTTAGGATTTAATCTAGTATTTTGTATTATGGGATGTCTATCACCGTATTTCCCCTAATGAAACAAAAAATTAAGGTACACTGCCATGTATCTCAATTCACATTATTTGAAGTACTTAAAAGTTCAAAATTAATAAAATGTACATCTGCTGGTTTTTTTCATAAGCAGACCTAGTTCTGACTTTCTGACAGTTCAAGGAGTTTTGAAGGACTATAAATGATAGCAGAATTGAATCTATATATTGTTCTTTTTGCATCCATCAGATCTGGATCTTCTAGAAAACATTTAGTAAATTAGGACACTCATTTTTCAAACAAACTAGCCATTGTCAACAACAATTGGGGTGACACTGAAAATATTCTAGAAGCATATCTAGATGATACACTTCAAATCTGCATTGCCTCCCCCGCTAGAATTTCAACTGTATATTTTATGCATTAAAAAGCAGACACACGTGTTATTATTCCCATTTATATCCCAGGATACTCCATATATTTAGCAGCTTTTTCTCCTTTATTGTTACTATGACTTTGATCTTCCCTGTTTCCAAATCTTGAAAAGCATTATACAAATGCCAGAATGATTGTCTGATTTTAAAGGGATGAAACTACCAAAACCAGGTGTCTCTCTTCTCCCTGTGGGATAGCCAAGTCAGCATTACTGGCATGGTTTACCCATCACAGCAGAGGAGATGTAGAGATTGGGAGACAGATGACAGTACTGCTTATCTCCCTTTTGACTGCTGCTACTCCTGCTCCTACACAAAGGATCTGCTACATTTGGAGAGGATGCATATGGAAGATGTTCACTGAAGGTCTGTGGGTGCTGGAAGAAGAGTGGGTGAGTGGTTGCTGTGGTAGGCCACTTGTAGGGATGCTGGCATCATTTTCCTGTTAATTTAATTACATAAGTAAAGTTCTACTGAAAGTTTAATGGGCTGTTGACATAAGAGTATGCGGGTGTAGAGGGCATAGGAGGGGAGGCGAGGGCAGGGTTTGACAGCAAGGAGGAAAGAAAAGGGAGCTGACTATTTACACTGCTTCAGATTCACTCTTAACTTTTTAAAGTATCTCAGTATCCAGTGATGAGACCTTTCTGAGACAAATATTGTTAAGAGATCAGATACCTCCAGTCATTGTTATTTCTATCCAGCACGAACAAACACAAGTGGGAAAAACAAAACAAAAACAAACAAAAAAACATCAAACAAAATCATGGGGCTTAGAAGAACAAGTCCTTAATTAAGAAGTTTGTTTGCTTCCTCACACAGCTTCCAACATGCTGTTATTGTCACATAAGTTATTCATTCACACCCAGCAAAACACTGAACTCATGTTACATAATTTTTATCAAAACAGTCCTGTTTTTCTGAATGCTTGTTAAAAATCCAGAAAAGCTAAACCAAATTATAGTGATGCCCATATGAAATCCATACACACCTTACGAATGGGTAAAAATTATTGATACTTAACGTGTTACTTAAGTAACTGGTATCTTTTTCCTCACAAATCGATTTCAGAAACACAACATTCCAATAATACGGTAACAGAAAGGAACCAGCCTGTAGTATCATAAAGAAGAGGATTTGAATGGTCCTTTAACAATTTAATATCCAAATTAAATGTACCCATGTTCAAACTCTGTTTAGGACCTTGCAACCTCATACTGCCTTTGTGTGTATTGGAAAAAATAAATATTTAACAAAATATTTGTAACAGGACACTTGCATGCCAAGAGGTTGCCTCAAAACAAGTAAAAACAAATTGTAAATTTTCTGAGTAATAATTCAAGTTACAAAAACTCACCAGTAGCATCTGGAAAAAATATCAGTATAAATATAACTGTTGGATTTACTGCTGATTTTATTAAATTAAATTTCTAAATAGAAATTGTTATAGCTTATGAACTCCTCAAATGGAGAATAATAATAAAAACAAACAAACAAACTAGAAAAATCCAACAGTTTCTCTCATCTTTTAAAATTCAGAATTTGTCATATTAGTAAAATATAGTTTAGGTTTAAAGATGGGCACATATTATTGTGCAGAAATTATAATTCTAGCTAAGAATTTCACAAGATATTACTACTGTTACCAGCAGTATTACTGTTACAGTATTTTGGTTGTATAAGTTGCAAGTTCAGAACAAATCAATACTAGAAAATTGAGTCACTTTGAAATTACAGAATATCATATCTGTAGTAAACCCACCAAAAAACCATCTTGCTGATGTAACCTTTTCCAGATGCTGCCAGGACAATTTTGCAAGTATAAACTTCTGTAAAGTACATTTCTATAGAGAAGTTTTTAAATTTTGACTTTGAGCTACAGACAGTTTGTCTTTTGAAAACCAGAATTATCTGTAGAAGATTAATTTCCCATTACAGTTTCAGATTTCTTCTTCATCCATAAAATTAACTGCAGTGAACTTCCAGGAGTAAAAAGCTGTCTTTTTTCAGGCTTGAATAAGAGGAGAAATAGTCACTTGTCCTGAAATCTGGCTACAATTAAACACATTGAAGAAAAATTAAAAGTCGTAAATGTAGAACTTTGGGTACTTTGCTGTGATCCTTTGTTATAGTCAAGTATATAGTCAAGTACTGTAATATACAATAAACAATCATTACGCATCACCTACATTTTGCTACCAAATGCTTAAAGTACAATTTATATTGGCCATAAATATAAAAGAACAGAATTAAACAAAAAAAAAAAGAAAAAAAGCAAACAACAACAACAACAAAAAAAGACAATATTTACCTTTTCCAACTGGGCATTTTTTTTTGATTTGTACAAAAACTCCCCCACTGCCACAAAGACAGAAAGCACCAATCCTGCTGCCAACACGATGAAAATTCCTCCAATATTTTGAACTCCCAAAGCACTGGCCTCTTTGCTTTCCTCTTCTGGGCAGCCATTGCCTCGCCACCATTTCTCTTTCATCATGTGGAGCTTGCCCTCCTCTTGCAGCTGAAGGATTGCTATAGTGATTTTGTCTCTGTACGGAGAACCTAAAGAGACCACAGGGAAGATATATTGCATGGGGTACGTTTTAAGGAAAGTTAATTATTCCTGATAAGAATAAAATGTAGGATAATGTCATAGGAAATACTATATTGTCTACAACCATAACATTTATCAAAAAGCCGTTTAGATTTCATCATGGTTGTACTGATCACAAAATTGCAAACCCACATGTGCAAACACATATAAATATACACGCACAAAACTCAATCCAGCTGATGTTGCCTGTAAACCAGGCAACTAGATGCATCAAGTCTTATCATACTTATTTCTACGGGCTCAAAAAACCTTCATGCCCAACTATTATACCCAGCCAAATCGTAGCCATGTTTCAATTTCCATCAGGCTTTTAACAATGTTGCAGTTCCAACCCTGACAGATTCTGATCTGCTTTAGCAGAAGACTTTAGAGCCCTAATGGCTCAATGGTTGGACTTGATGATCTTGAAGGTCCCTTCCAACCTAAAGGATTCTATGACTCTATGATTCTAGATTTAGTCAAATATACATAAATCTACAGGCTGTTGTTTCATAGTTTGTTACCCTAAAGCTAATCCAGGTCTGATAAGTAATGAATGTTTTATATTGCTTCTTTATTAAAAGAAGCAGCAACAATTTATGCTTCAGGATCAAGCTACAAAAGTATTTGATAGATTGTCAGGGACTTCAAATACCTTCAAAGTATGCACTTATTAGCAGTACCAGGTAGCAATGCATTCAGAAAGATAAGGGTACATGTGTTTGGACAATAGGAATATAAATTTTAATGTTCCAATATATTTCTTTTTCATAATTCAGTATTTTAAAGTGACATGATAATTTTGTAGCTTTTGAAAATTTCAGTATTTCAAGGGGCAGTTCAAAGGGTAGTGTCATATATTTGTATGCTCTCTTTGTATGTTCATCTGCTCTCTTTTTCTCTATATAGTGCATAATGGCCTTTTAATGAGTACTTAAAAATCTACATTACTTAATGAATAATGTCAATGGAGAAATCTTCCCTTTTCTGAATGTTAGAGAGTAAATCACATCAGTTAGAAGTGCTTTCTATGTTAAGATTTCTGTAATGTTTAAGGAGTGAATTGAGCCATCATTTTTATTCTCCTCTTTCAAAAACAAGAACAAAATGGTCTTCATTAAATGGTTAAGAAATCCTAGGAAAAAAAAAAAGACAGTAGGTGAAAAAGCATGGCATCCTCTCTTCCATGTGAATGCAATGAATCCTTTTTTTTCTCCTTTCTGCCATTCCTTTTTTTTTTCTTTTTGTCATAATAATTCTACTTACTAGCTACAATTTTTAGAGTGTTTCCTTTAGCTGAGTAATAAATTTTTTTTTTTCATTAGCTTGATAACTTAAAAAAAATCTTCAGCATCAGGAGATACTGCCAATTTGACTATTTCAGGTACTGTAAACAACTGTGAAGAAGCTAAAGGAATTAATTGATAAGATATTTTATACTCTTTACACTCTTAGAAAACATCTTGGAAATTCTTTTAGAATTTCTTTTAATTTATTCTTTAGTTCTTCAGTTTCTTCTTACATATCTAGAGCTTATCATAAGAATAAAGCTAATAGCAAAGGGTTGCTGTGTCAGCATGCAAGTCAAACATAGAAAGGACCATTGATTACAAATGTTGTGGGCTTTTCCTCTATTCCAGAATCAAAGGTAGGAAAAGCTGGCCTCAAAGTATTTAAGCTGCAAGAACTTGTGTTTTTATCATCTATACATAGAAAATAACTATGTTCTGTAATAGGAGATAAATTGTGTTTACACAGGACTATGGGGGAAGCAGAAAGAAAGGAAACCAAACTCTTTTCTACTCTCTTGTTCATGCAGGTCCTAATTCTCACCATTTCAGACCATCCTGATTATGCTGAAATGCTGCAAAACCCTATACTTGACACATTTCTTCAGTTAGATGGAAAAAGGAAAGTGATTACTTCAGAAGAGTCTAGGGAAGTGTAAGTGCATCCTATAATCTTTTGGGGATATTCTCAGTGTTATGCTGCCTATAAATATTTAACAACAACTTAAATAATGTTAGATTCTGAGAAATAATCTTGGACCCAGTTTAAGCCATCTTCTGATCTGACAGGCTGCTTTCTAATTAAACTGATTTGCATTTCATTTCCATACTTTCTGTTGGTCTAAATATAGACAATACCAACTATTCTTCATGTATTATTTATATATTCTAGGGACCATATTTGTACACACACTTTTCTAGTCCATCTGAAGAACTTAAGAAAAAAAAACTTAACTGAGGAATTCACAGGCAGAAGCCATAAAGCATAGACTAACTCTATCTACAATTAGTTATGTTTACGAAGTTTGCATTAGAAGCATTTCTGTTCAACAAGTATTTGTATCATTTACTGTTCATTTGCAAAATTTTCTACAAATAGCTGTGAAGTGGACAGATTACAGGATGTTTTGCAATATTTGTATGTGTTATACCTTATTATCTTGTCTTAAAAATGGTAATCTCAGAAGTAAGGATCAATGTGGGATGACCAGCACTGAGTATTGCTGCTGTTAAATTAAGAATTTAAGATTTTTTACCCATGAAAAAAGCTCTCATTCAATGCCATAGTTCTATTTTATTTCTGAATTACTTAGAGTGTCCTAAATTCATTGATGCAGATTTTGAAACAAATAATGATTACACCTAATAATCTGATATTTGAAAAGCAGTCATTTTTAATGCTGTTTAAACTGATTCAAGAAGGTATTAAGAGAACAAAAGAAGCATAGCAGTTATATTATCTCCTAGGTTTTATTTGCTCCTAAACTTTTTTTTTTTTTTTTTGATATAACCTGGATTGCAAGTCCCAGAAATGGAAAATCTACCCAGAAGCATCTGAACTGGCTAAAAGTATTGTCTGATCTGTGGATGGCAAAGTTAGCATACAAAAAGAAGATAAAGTAAATACAGACTATAGACAAGACATCCAGATTACACTCTGTGTGTTAAAACTGTTTTCTTTGTAGAAATGAAAAATTTTAGCAGGTAAAAGACTTTTGACATTTACTGGTAACTTGTACTATCACTTGTATCACATGACTGAAAGATGAATCAAGCCCTTCCTTGAGTTGTTGCAAGAAGGTCTTGTCCTGCTCTTACATTTTTTAAATGTAAGAAGGATTTCACTTCAGAGAATTTACTGCTAAAAAAAAAAAAAAAAAAAGAAAATTTAGACTCTCAGATAATGTATATGAATGTATTTGCAAAATAAATACAGTATAAATAAGAATAAAATAATAAAGTAGAGGAGAGAAAAAGAGAGAGAATAAAATTTGGCCATGTGAAGAAATGTGAACTTCACATCTCAACCTTCAATAAAAAGACAAGCAGTTGGAAAAAGTCTTACCAGTTTGTGCATGGGGGGAAGACTAGGAAGGGAGAAACAGTGTTATTTAAAACTCCATCCCAAAATCTGGGAAAAAGATGAGTACATAATCTTTCACTGAGTCCAAAGGAAAAGAAATCCAGTGCAGAAATACCCAACTTTTTCTTTCCCCTCTTTTCATGTTTCTTTCTGCTTTCATTGCTTTATCAGCTATTGAGCTATTCCCACGACAAACCTGGACTGGAGGGCCTACAGAACATAATCTGAACATTATTTGTTGATCTCACTCTAGCTTCTGTTTGCAGGAACGAATATTTCTGCCATAAGAATTTTAGGACCTTCTGTTATAGTGCCTTTCTATGATCAACAAGCTCAATAAGAGATGCAATAATTTCTATTGGCAGTTATCTGCTTATGAAAATGTAAAATAAAGATGAAAATTTGCATAAAATTCTAATGTTTGAAGCATATGTACAAAACTAAGGTAGCAAAGTCTCAGGAATACTGCAGAAGTTATACATAGTCAAGTTTTCCGCCCCGAAGTCTCAATATATAAAGATTTATGCACATAATGATATGTTTAATCATAGGTTATGAACACATAAGCTTTTTATATTGAGACTTCACTGCATATAGATTAGTATGTTGAAATTCTGCTGATCTGGATGGTTTTGCAACTGCTTCTTACTTTATAATTTTATCAAATTATAAACTGCTTCTTAGTTTATGATTTGGTAAAATCTCCTAGCTGGTTACTCTTATTCTATTTTTCTCATTCCAACAAAAACAAATGGAGTTGGAACATATTGAAACCTACAGAACTGCATTTCATAGAATACCAGGCTGGAACTGATGTCAAGGATCATCTGGTACAACCCTTCCTGGCACACAAAATTCTTGTGTTATTCTTAGCACAGTCTAGGTAAGACAGTGCAGCACTCTGTCCAGCTGTCCAGGTGAATTTTGTGTCCAATGTTGTGGTCTCTACCACTTCCCTGAGGAGGTTATTCCAATGGCTCGTTGTCCTTGTGAAAAATTTTCTTCTTGTGTATAGTCAGAATCTTCCTAGGAGTAACTTCTACCCATTACCCCACATCATTTCCATGTGACTCCTTATAAAAAGATAGTCTACATCTTCTTTATAGCCACGCTTTAACTACAGACACAAGGTGATAAAGTCTCCCCTAAGCCAAATGTCACAGGAAAGATATTCGTTTGATATCTAGGTGTTGAAGCTGTATGTGAATAGTTTATCTTGAACAAAGCAATCAGTTCAAGTTCTATTCTAGCAGTTGACAGGAATAAGCATCAAACTCAGCTTTTTTTTTTTTTGTTTTAGCATGAGCCCATTCCCATTGTGGTTATAAAAGATTGACCTATCTATACTAAAGTTAACTTGGGTACATGTACATAAAATTGGTCACAATCTCACTCCAGTGTAAGAATATCTAAAATTTCCATAAGAGTGCTAGCTACCTACTGAAGATGGATGGAATCATTTAAGTCTCAGCATACCAACATTTCTCTGCACTTATCACAGAGCTTAGCCTCATCAAGCATCTCTGCTATGAAACTGGTTGCATGTTTAGTTAATCATATTTGGAAGTTTTGTTTGTTATATTGTTCTGTTATCTCT